CCGTCCTTAGGGGTACTTTCGATGAATAGGACTAACCTCGGGTGGCAGCTGATGAGAGTATTCCAGTTACTACATCACCCGGGTGCACGAACGCCTGTAGCTACGCAGATTCATACAGTCCGGACAGTCGGTCTAGAATTAGGGTTTTATTGAATTGTTTATTTGAATGAATTTGAATGTGCTTGCATATGAAAAAAGTATGTTATTTCTTGAATTAAATTACATAAGCTTACCCTGTGTTTCCTTGTGTTGTCTTGTTGTATGTCCGTCTTGTCTTTGCAATGATCATCCGTGTGGATGTGAGCAGATGGAAGCGCGCTACTTGAAGAGGCGCTGGAAGAAGAATTTTTGGAAGACGCGAACCTCGTAGATGTGGAAGTAAAGGCCGAACAGTAGGACGTTCGGTTGTAGTTAGTAGTTTAGTATGAAGTGACCGTTCGGTCACTTTCTTTCCGTTTTGTTATTTGACCGATCGGTAATTTGACTTTTGTAAGTCGATCGGTCATGTTTACATTAAATCTAGTACAGTTTACTTTTGGCAAGCTATGTAAGGACATTCGGCCAAAATCTTTCGTTGGTTTAGTATAAAACTGAATTGGTTTATCATTAAATGTAATTAATTCTATTATATGGTTTTTACTGTATTTTTGGGATGTTAAACAAGGAGATCAAGACACTGCATTTCTAGATCAAAGGAAGTCTTCAAGAGGTAAGGGGAGCTAGATCTATTTGTTTAATTGTTGAAATATACTGTGTTTGATGCAAATATGGGAAGAAAGGGATGAAAAATGGGGTTTCTGGAAAATCTGGTGCGATTCTGCAGAATTCTACAGAACGCGCGTTCGGCAAACAGTGCTCGACCAACAGTGGTCGGCCAAACTAACCGTTCGGTTTTGTATCCTCCAGTAACGAGCGTTAGCGTTCGTTCTAGGCTTGTTTAGTGAAGCGTTCGGCGATCGTTTTCGTGTAATAGAGATGGTAGCGTTCGACCTTAAATCTGATATTCATAGGTTTAAAATCTTGAACGTTCGGTTGGGTGTATATGGATTGTAGCGTTCGACCATAACTTTAATATTCTTAGGATTGAATCTTAAGCGTTCGATCCTCGTGAAATAGTGATCCTAGACGTTATTCCTTAAATAGGTGTTCTCAGGTTTAACTTGTAAGCGTTCGGACTTAATTATGATTCTTAGGCTTGGATCTTAATCGTTCGTTCTTGGTGTATAAGTGATTGTGAGCGTTCGGCCTTAAATCAGTATTCTTAGGTTTCCATCTTGAACGATCGGCCTTGGTTTAAATGTGATTGTGAGCGTTCATTCTCAATTTGGTATTTTAGGTTTCAATCTCGAGCGTTCGGTTTTGATGTAATAGTGGTTGTAGGCATCCGTCCTTTTTGATGATGTATTCTCAGGTTGAACTCTTAAGCATTCGGTCTTAATTTGGATTCTTAGGTTTGGATCTTAATCGTTCATTATTGGTGTATAAGTGATTGCGTGCGTTCGGTATTAATTTTGATTTTTAAGTTGAAATCTTGAACGTTCGATTTTGGAGTATTAGTAAGCGTTCGGTCTTAATTTGATAGTCTTAAGTTTAGATCATAATTGTGATTGTGAGCGTTCGGCCGTAATTGGATATTCTAAGTTGATATCTTAAACGATCGGCCTTGGTGTATTAGTGAGTATGAGCGTTCGTTCTTAACTTAGTATTCTCGGGTAGCAATGTTGAGCGTTCGGTCTTCATTTGATAGTCTTAAAGTTTGGATCTTGAGCGTTCAGTCTTGATATATGTTTGTAATCATTAGCGTTCGACCTGGATCGCGTATTCTGAGGTTTAGTTGGTAAGCGTTCGATCTGGGTGTATCAGTGATGGTTAGCGTTCGATCTTGACCAGGTATTCTCAGGCTTCGATCGTAAGCGTTCGGTATTAATGATAGGTAACGTTCGGTTTTGCTGATGTTTATTCCTAGTTAGTGATCGTTCATGGCGAACGTTCGGTTTCGATGATGGTTGTCTTCAGATAGGAATCACCATAGGCAGCGTTCGGTATTTGATGATGATTGATCTTTGAATGTTCGTCCAGACAGTATCCTATTTGAATATGGAGTTCGGTTTTAGCGTTCGGCCGGATACTCAGTTTTAGCGTTCGGCATGTTTATGTTGGATCACATTGCTTCCGTCCAAATAGTATAAAGTTCGGCAATATAGCTGTCGGCAGATAGTGTTCGTCCAGATCGTTTTGGTGAATAGCGTTCGACAAAATAGTGTTCAACAAATAGTTTTCGGTTCTAAGTTCCTTTGCTCTTGGGTTGGATTAAGTGTGCAAATATTTGGAATGTATACTGTGATGTGATTTATGTGAAAGTATGTGAATGCATGAGATATGTTAAATTACTGGGATAATATGATTGTGAATGTAAATGATGAATTTGAGTATGATTTGGACATCTCGGAGAGAGATGGATGAAAGTGGTTATGTGGGGTATTGTGGTTGTTCCGTATAACTGTATGGAGCTTTGAATTGGTATGTCTATCCCTACACTCAAAGCATTGTTCATACTCAAGTAGAGAAGAACAATGTAAGTGGTGAGAGTAGAGGGAGGTCCTCGTCTATAGTCTTTGAATTTAGACATAGACAGATTGGGGGATTCACCTTGCTAGTGTTGGAGAAAGACCAGCTGAACTATGCAAGTGCAAAGACGACCAATAGTTCGACAGTTATACAAATATGGAGGAGTCGTGTGTTGTGGATTTACCTTGCATAGTGTTGGAGAGTGCCAACAGAAGTATGCAAGTGTAAAGAGGAGTCGTGTGTCGTGGATTTACCTTGCATAGTGTTGGGGAGTGCCAACAAAACTATGCAAGCGTAAAGATGTGTGAGTTGTGGTTTAACGAGCATGTTTTAATTGTTCCTTTATATGTATCTATGTATGATGACATGAATCAATTGTGATATATGTATAACATGCTTTTTATATCTAGCTCACCCTTGCATTGTTTGTGTTGTGTGCCGTTTATGTATGTTTCGTTGGCAATGATCATCCACTTGGATGGGAGCAGATGTTGTCGAGGAGATTCCCTTGGATCAAGAGCTAGAGGATACCGAGGTTGCGGTTTAGACTGTTAGGAATTTTCCTATTCGAACACTTGTAGTGTTCAATAATCTAAACTGTTAAGTTTAAATTTTCACTCCTTTTATTTGGATGACTGTAATTTCGCACTTAAATTACACGTCATATTCTGACTGTTCTCTATATTTGAATGTTGAGGTCTTTATTATATAATATTGGTTATTATATAATCGGGATGTTACATTAATGGTATCAGAGCAGTTCCTTCCTTAGGAACCTGTAGGTTGTGGGTACACACTAGTTGTGGTTGTGTATGATGGTATCGGAGGGGGTATTTTTTTCGAAGAGTATAGCGCAGCGGAATTAAAACTCAGAGAGCGGGAAGCGTATTTGATCACAATTAAAATTAATTTGGTCCTTTTAGTAAAAATAATTTTCTTTCAGAAAATTAATCAAACAGTTGATATACGTAAAATAATATGAGTGTAGGGAATAGAAAAAATCACACAGATATTTTTATCCTGGTTCGATTCAACAGAATCTACATCCAGTCGTTAATCACTATAAATAGTGATTAACATTTCCACTAAAAATGGTTTAACAGATTACAATCAAACGAACAGGACTAAAACGAAAAGAACCACTCTACCAACTTGAAGAGAACCGCTCCAGCAATCGACCAGCGATTCGCAAGCTTCTCCTTTCACAAGACCAGACAGAGTACCTTGCTAACTTTTGTGAGAGTCTGCTCCGACTATCGACACACGATACGCGAGCCTCTCCTTTCACAAGACCAAGCAAGGGAACAATGAACAAAAAGCTCTCTAAGAACGTTCCTCTGACACACAGTGTTCTAAGCTTTCTCAGTTCAAAAAACGATACCTTCTGATTTCTCCAAATCAAATTATATAGCCAAGTATAGTGAGTGCCAAAGGTCAGCTCTCAACTGCCATGAATAATCGATTATTGTAAGTGATAATCGATTATTCAAGTCCGTTACAGGTTTTCAAAAATGTGATAATCGATTATATAAAGTGATAATCGATTATTCAAGTATGACTTGTGATAATCGATTATTGCTTAACCATAATCGATTATACGAATAAAAATTACAATGTTTAACATTTTCCTACTACATTCAAAATCTACAAGTTGCTTTTTTAAATATTTTCCTACTACATCCAAAATCTATAAGTTGCAGCATCATCAAAACACATTTTTAGGTTTTACCAATACTCCTTATTGGTAACAATCTCCCCCTTTTTGATGATGATCAAAAACTCTCTTTTTAAAAGCAACTCAGGTTTACCTGCAACATATATAAACTAATGGACAACCACAGTTAGCAATACCTGTACAATTAAAAACAATTTTTTTTTAATCCTCCCCTTATATTTCTTCTCCCCCTTTTTGATCATAAGCAAAAAGAATAATGTAATAACCTCCCCCTTAATATGAGCTCCCCCTCAAAAATGGAATATATGCAAAAAATAAAAGCTCATTATATTAAGAACATAAAGGAATTACATGAAATTCATAAAGATTAAGAAACTAAATACCATAAAGAAAATAACATAACAATCAAACTTAGAGGCCTAAGACCTAGAATTCAGGACTAGGAGAACGTTCAGGAGGGTTTATGGCCGTTTATAGCCGTTATGGGATGCTCCAACGGCTCTATTTTTGAAACTGTCAGCGCGATAATCGATTATGGCTCGTGATAATCGATTATTCGTTCAATAATTACTGCCCAGAATTGCATGATAATCGATTATGCATAATGATAATCGATTATGCATAATGATAATCGATTATTTGCTCAAGATTTTCCAGAATTGAATTGTATGCATGAATAATCGATTATAACTTAGTGATAATCGATTATGAAGCGTTAAGTTTACGAAAAATGCAAAAATTTGCATAGATTTTGATTCTAAGATATGTCTAACACTCCTAACTCTCTTCTAAGCTCAAAAAATCTATCTTTAGGTAGAGCCTTGGTAAAGATATCAGCTAATTGATGTAAGGTATTAACATATTCAATTTGACAATCCCCCTTTTGAATATGATCTCTTAAGAAATGGTGCCTAATTTCTATATGCTTAGTTCTTGAATGCATTATGGGGTTCTTGGTCAAATTTATCGCACTAGTATTGTCACATTTTAGAGGAATTTTGTCAAGGAAGATATCAAAGTCTTCCAATTGTTGTTTCATCCACAAAATTTGGGCACAACAGTTTCCAGCTGCAATATATTCAGCTTCGGTGGTAGACAAAGCTACACATGCTTGTTTCTTTGAGTGCCATGACACTAAAGAACATCCCAAAAAATGACAGGTTCCACTAGTACTTTTTCTATCAATTTTACAGCCACCATAATCTGCATCAGAGTATCCTATTAAACTAGGTGAGGCATCAGAGGGATACCAAAGTCCAAATGAAGTAGTTCCCTTAAGATATTTTAGAATTCTCTTAACTGCAGTCAAATAAGATTCTTTAGGATTGGCTTGGTATCTAGCACATACACAAACACTCTGCATAATATCTGGTCTACTAGCAGTTAAGTATAGCAAGGATCCTATCATGCCTCTAAACATGGTTTCATTCACTCCTTTTCCAATTTCATCCTTATCTAAATAACATGAAGTACCCATGGGTGTACTAGCTTCNTGGATGGGAGCAGATGTTGTCGAGGAGATCCCCTTGGAGCAAGAGCTGGAGGTTACTGATGTTGCGGAGTAGTCTTCTTAGGAATTTCCTGATTGAACACTTGTAGTGTTTAATCATTTCAATTGTTCAAGTTTAAATTTTCAGTTTCTTTTATTTCTGGATGACTGTAATTTCACATTTAATTACACGTCATACTCCGACTGTTCTCTATATTTGGATGTTAACGTCTTTATTATATAATATTGGTTATTATATAATCGGGATGTTACAGCGCTCGTACTATTGTATAATCAATCTTGATAAAATAGCGTTCGTCCAACTTCAGTAATATTTTCCTTTACCATGTTCGGTCATTTACTGGCATTGGATTTCCATATGTGAATTATTCTAAATATAGTTCCTTAACATCTTAATTATTCTTCTTGCATTGGATCCGACCTAGGGCCTCCATACTTCATTTCTTCTTTAAGTATTGGTTTAAACTCAAGAGAGTCAGTTCATTCAACTGATTCAAGTGGTAAATACCGTTCGTCACATATTGCACTATTTTACTCGGTTCATTTCTTAAATCTAAAAGTAACTCTCTTGGTATTATTCCATTTTGGAGCTGGAGACCTATCTGTCTCGTCTCAAACGTTCGTCCTCGTTCTGAGTGAGAATAGAACGTTCGGTATTTTGGTGTCTTTATAAACCTTTGAACAAAGATGAGATTTAACTTATTGGCAATAAAGATGAGTTTGAGAAAAGTGATAATGAAAGATGGAATTGAGAATGCTTATGAATGAAATAAGAAGAGAATGTGATATGAATGAAATGATGTGAAGTTGAACGAGCGTTCCGGGGAGGTACGACTCATGTATGAATATTGGAAATGGTAAAGTATGACTGTGGGCATGCTAATGCTGGCTGTTCATCCTAATGTTTCGTGGGTACTCGTCCTCACGTAGAGGAGGGTAGGTCATGTGTGGAAACGGCAGGAGGTCCCGTCCTTAGGGGTACTTTCGATGAATAGGACTAACCTCGGGTGGCAGCTGATGAGAGTATTCCAGTTACTACATCACCCGGGTGCACGAACGCCTGTAGCTACGCAGATTCATACAGTCCGGACAGTCGGTCTAGAATTAGGGTTTTATTGAATTGTTTATTTGAATGAATTTGAATGTGCTTGCATATGAAAAAAGTATGTTATTTCTTGAATTAAATTACATAAGCTTACCCTGTGTTTCCTTGTGTTGTCTTGTTGTATGTCCGTCTTGTCTTTGCAATGATCATCCGTGTGGATGTGAGCAGATGGAAGCGCGCTACTTGAAGAGGCGCTGGAAGAAGAATTTTTGGAAGACGCGAACCTCGTAGATGTGGAAGTAAAGGCCGAACAGTAGGACGTTCGGTTGTAGTTAGTAGTTTAGTATGAAGTGACCGTTCGGTCACTTTCTTTCCGTTTTGTTATTTGACCGATCGGTAATTTGACTTTTGTAAGTCGTTCGGTCATGTTTTCTTTGAATCTTGTACAGTTTACTTTTGGCAAGCTATGTAAGGTCATTCGGCCAAAATCTTTCGTTGGTTTAGTATAAAACTGAATTGGTTTATCATTAAATGTAATTAATTCTATTATATGGTTTTTACTGTATTTTTGGGATGTTAAACAAGGAGATCAAGACACTGCATTTCTAGATCAAAGGAAGTCTTCAAGAGGTAAGGGGAGCTAGATCTATTTGTTTAATTGTTGAAATATACTGTGTTTGATGCAAATATGGGAAGAAAGGGATGAAAAATGGGGTTTCTGGAAAATCTGGTGCGATTCTGCAGAATTCTACAGAACGCGCGTTCGGCAAACAGTGCTCGACCAACAGTGGTCGGCCAAACTAACCGTTCGGTTTTGTATCCTCCAGTAACGAGCGTTAGCGTTCGTTCTAGGCTTGTTTAGTGAAGCGTTCGGCGATCGTTTTCGTGTAATAGAGATGGTAGCGTTCGACCTTAAATCTGATATTCATAGGTTTAAAATCTTGAACGTTCGGTTGGGTGTATATGGATTGTAGCGTTCGACCATAACTTTAATATTCTTAGGATTGAATCTTAAGCGTTCGATCCTCGTGAAATAGTGATCCTAGACGTTATTCCTTAAATAGGTGTTCTCAGGTTTAACTTGTAAGCGTTCGGACTTAATTATGATTCTTAGGCTTGGATCTTAATCGTTCGTTCTTGGTGTATAAGTGATTGTGAGCGTTCGGCCTTAAATCAGTATTCTTAGGTTTCCATCTTGAACGATCGGCCTTGGTTTAAATGTGATTGTGAGCGTTCATTCTCAATTTGGTATTTTAGGTTTCAATCTCGAGCGTTCGGTTTTGATGTAATAGTGGTTGTAGGCATCCGTCCTTTTTGATGATGTATTCTCAGGTTGAACTCTTAAGCATTCGGTCTTAATTTGGATTCTTAGGTTTGGATCTTAATCGTTCATTATTGGTGTATAAGTGATTGCGTGCGTTCGGTATTAATTTTGATTTTTAAGTTGAAATCTTGAACGTTCGATTTTGGAGTATTAGTAAGCGTTCGGTCTTAATTTGATAGTCTTAAGTTTAGATCATAATTGTGATTGTGAGCGTTCGGCCGTAATTGGATATTCTAAGTTGATATCTTAAACGATCGGCCTTGGTGTATTAGTGAGTATGAGCGTTCGTTCTTAACTTAGTATTCTCGGGTAGCAATGTTGAGCGTTCGGTCTTCATTTGATAGTCTTAAAGTTTGGATCTTGAGCGTTCAGTCTTGATATATGTTTGTAATCATTAGCGTTCGACCTGGATCGCGTATTCTGAGGTTTAGTTGGTAAGCGTTCGATCTGGGTGTATCAGTGATGGTTAGCGTTCGATCTTGACCAGGTATTCTCAGGCTTCGATCGTAAGCGTTCGGTATTAATGATAGGTAACGTTCGGTTTTGCTGATGTTTATTCCTAGTTAGTGATCGTTCATGGCGAACGTTCGGTTTCGATGATGGTTGTCTTCAGATAGGAATCACCATAGGCAGCGTTCGGTATTTGATGATGATTGATCTTTGAATGTTCGTCCAGACAGTATCCTATTTGAATATGGAGTTCGGTTTTAGCGTTCGGCCGGATACTCAGTTTTAGCGTTCGGCATGTTTATGTTGGATCACATTGCTTCCGTCCAAATAGTATAAAGTTCGGCAATATAGCTGTCGGCAGATAGTGTTCGTCCAGATCGTTTTGGTGAATAGCGTTCGACAAAATAGTGTTCAACAAATAGTTTTCGGTTCTAAGTTCCTTTGCTCTTGGGTTGGATTAAGTGTGCAAATATTTGGAATGTATACTGTGATGTGATTTATGTGAAAGTATGTGAATGCATGAGATATGTTAAATTACTGGGATAATATGATTGTGAATGTAAATGATGAATTTGAGTATGATTTGGACATCTCGGAGAGAGATGGATGAAAGTGGTTATGTGGGGTATTGTGGTTGTTCCGTATAACTGTATGGAGCTTTGAATTGGTATGTCTATCCCTACACTCAAAGCATTGTTCATACTCAAGTAGAGAAGAACAATGTAAGTGGTGAGAGTAGAGGGAGGTCCTCGTCTATAGTCTTTGAATTTAGACATAGACAGATTGGGGGATTAACCTTGCTAGTGTTGGAGAAAGACCAGCTGAACTATGCAAGTGCAAAGACGACCAATAGTTCGACAGTTATACAAATATGGAGGAGTCGTGTGTTGTGGATTTACCTTGCATAGTGTTGGAGAGTGCCAACAGAAGTATGCAAGTGTAAAGAGGAGTCGTGTGTCGTGGATTTACCTTGCATAGTGTTGGGGAGTGCCAACAAAACTATGCAAGCGTAAAGATGTGTGAGTTGTGGTTTAACGAGCATGTTTTAATTGTTCCTTTATATGTATCTATGTATGATGACATGAATCAATTGTGATATATGTATAACATGCTTTTTATATCTAGCTCACCCTTGCATTGTTTGTGTTGTGTGCCGTTTATGTATGTTTCGTTGGCAATGATCATCCACTTGGATGGGAGCAGATGTTGTCGAGGAGATTCCCTTGGATCAAGAGCTAGAGGATACCGAGGTTGCGGTTTAGACTGTTAGGAATTTTCCTATTCGAACACTTGTAGTGTTCAATAATCTAAACTGTTAAGTTTAAATTTTCACTCCTTTTATTTGGATGACTGTAATTTCGCACTTAAATTACACGTCATATTCTGACTGTTCTCTATATTTGAATGTTGAGGTCTTTATTATATAATATTGGTTATTATATAATCGGGATGTTACATTAATGGTATCAGAGCAGTTCCTTCCTTAGGAACCTGTAGGTTGTGGGTACACACTAGTTGTGGTTGTGTATGATGGTATCGGAGGGGGTA